AGACAGACAGACAGACAGACAAGGGTGAAAGCAAAGAAGTAGGACCTTCCAGTGGGCACCCGCGTAGAACCTACAAACGACGATCCCTAACCACCCACAAGTTCACACCCCACAAGCACAATTCATATCAGTAAGGAGGCGAGCCGATCCGACCCAAACCGGGATATGTGTAAACAACACCCCAATTGTTTGAGTAAAGAGGAGCACATCGACACATTAATGGTCATTTAGTGTTGGGGAAAACAAGTAAGACAGATAGAAAGATAGACACAACAAAGGGAAAGTAAAAAGTGGGACCTACCAGGGGCGTCCTCCAACCCGTTTAGTGCAGGGAAAAAGCAAGACAGACAGAAACAAAAAAACCCATAATGATAATGTAGGACCTACCAGTGGCACCCCCCCCCCAATCATCCAGCACCCCCCATGCTGGCAGATGGAGATACATGAACTTAATTTGGAAGAAAAAACCCAAACCAAACCAAACTTTTCCATTCCGGAGCCAAACTCATGCTTTTTATGTCCAACAGCGAAGATCTTAACTACTACTGTTTTTAGTTATAGTTAAGAGTTTACGACACTTGCAATAGAATAAGGTCATATAACTACCGAAGATTGGAGATGTTACAAGCGAGTAACAAACACAAAAAAGGAGGACGGAAGATAAGGACGATAAGTATTTCGATAGGAAAGAAATAGCTACATCACAGACGCTGGTCAAAGCCCTAATGGCATTTCCAGCAGGAGGGTTTTTCATAAACTATACTGTGCAGTCTACAGGGTGACTGAACCTTCCACACGAGTGACGGTGGGTGACTGAGGCGAGTCGGAAACTGCGCCCACATTCTACCAGGAAGCAGATTATGAACGAGGTGTTGCGCCCACATTCTACCAGGAAGCAGATTATGAACGAGGTGTAACATTATGGCGAAGGAATAGAAGAAGCAGACCAAACCAGAGACAATTCACGGATTGCACACTGGTTTTAGTTTTAGTTATAGTATAGTCTTTTTCGGTGCTCGCAACTGCAAACGGTCATATGAGCGCCAAAGGGTGGATGTCAATAGAGAAATCCCCGAAGGGAATCAGGCATACTCTGCTCACCTCTTTATCTTCAACAGCATAAAGTCTGCTTCGACTATCAAGGCACC